ATGTTTTGTCAGTGTGCAGGAAACCAGGTGGGTAAAAACTAATACTGATTTGTTCTCTATTAGTTAGCTAAGCGTTTAGCCATAGTCTCAGGTGTTCGGAGCAGAGCAAAGTCTTAAATCAACTGTTTTGATGCAAAGGTGTGTGGGCGTTACGTAGGTTAATGGTAGATTTTTAAAGGTGTGTGTTTTAAAAAATTGTCGTTTAAATATTTTAGCTGTAGGTTCAAGTGAGTTCACCGGATGTCTGCAGATGGAAGTTCCTGAAACAACCCGACTGTTCGTGTCGTGTAGGTGGGGAGGAACTTCCAGCAGGTCCCGAACCCCGGACCTCCCAAACTAGTCATTGTTTTCTGGACGCACTCAGTGTGGTTTGTTTGTCGTCCTGGGTGAATCAAAAGACAGCTGGAGCTTTACTTTTACCAATCCAATCAGTGTAAAGCAGTGACGACTCCAGGAAGGATTCTTGAGAGTTCAGAGCAGGCGCATCCTGTTATTGTTCAGTACATGCACATCGAGTCAGTTCAGAAAGTTGTTTGTGATGTTCATGCCTTAAATCCATACCCAGTCAGGTCAACAGGGTGGTACATCTTATCTTAGGTGCGAGTGATCGATTCTGTGTGTCTTCTGCAACGGGCACACCGGCTTCACTGCACGTACTACTTTGTTTTATTTTTTCATTTTTTGTTGTGTTGTTAAGGAAACCATATTGATTTTCAGAAGTATGTGGCAATAACAGACATTTTCACATCATGTACTCAAGAGTATGAGATGATCATTGTAGTTAAAAATGTCTGTCGTATTTTCTCGTCCTAAGTTATGTAAGCTAACATTTTTTCCCCCCCTATCATTCTTTAAATATTGGGTTTTGTGTGCAGGTGCATGCGTGTGGAAAATGCACATTTTGTTTTTATTTTTTGGAATTTAATATTTATTTAAAAAGGGTACAAAAAATTTTTTGATCTGTTTTCTGTCAGGAAGGGACTTTTATTTTGTAAATCCGCGCAAATCATTAATTTCTAAATGTGCTATTTGTCAATTAGCTTCTTATTCGTAGCATGTTTTTAGATTTTTGCCGTGTTTTCTACTCAGTGCATTTTCCTGCCTTAAGCTGTTGTCCATGTGCAACCTTTGAATTGCCGTGTGGTGCCAAAATTTGAAAAAGAGAAGTCTTTTTTTTGTTTTGTTGTTGATTGATTTATCTGTAACTTATTTACAGTTCAGATTTAAGTTTTTGTCATGTTGCAGGCAACATTGCTGTTCTAAGGTTGTACATGAAGTATTTTGTAGCCTTTGGGTGCCTCAGTCTCATCCAAATGTTTTAAAATGTTGTAACTGCTGTCTTGTTTCCGTATATCTTCAAAATACCATCTGAGAGGTTTTCAACTGTTGTTACAAGCAACTAGACTCCTTTTATAACAGATGATGTAACACGTTTCGTCTCCGTGTTGGACTTCAGCTCCCATCTATTGTGTTCGCCGCCCTGCTTCACAGGACAAATGCAGCAAGTGCCTTGCTGAGGTAAAGCAGTAAGTTCCTAAAAATATTCAGATCAGGAAATCTTAATGTGTGACGTCCTGATTTTCCGCTAGTTGTATGTAGAATCTGTTTGATTTTTGTTTGAAAAACTGCACCTTCAGTTTAAACGCAAATCTTTTGCAATTGTAAGATTCAAAGCACGCTTAAGGGCACAAGTGGGATTTTTCTGAAACAATGGGCTATATTGAACTCATCATGAAATGACATTTGATCCTAGATTTATAACACTATAAAATGCACATTTTGAAAGGCAGATTTCTTTCTGTTGAAGTCACCTTAGAGTACAAAATAAAATCCAGATCTACTGACAAATCTTTAAAAAAATGATGTGGCTTAACAGAACAGAAGTGAACGGAGTGCAGCCCTGACTAAGTTGCTGTTCTCAGTGCTGGCTTATCGAGAAACTTAACAATCTTCTTGTTTTGTTTCTTTTCTTCTTCCTTCATTCTGGTTAAAGTTTGTACTTGTGATTTACTTATGGATCCCAATATGCCCTTTTGTATCGAAATGTCTTTTGACAAAATAAAAATAACTATTTTCATTTGAATCATTTGTGTCGCAAATTGTTTTTGTGTGATGTAAAGAAAATACGAGGTGTAGCTATTACCTAAGACTAATGATGCTTTCTTTTACATTAGGTAAGTCTTGTTATTACGTAGTTAAACCTTCACTAGTATTCTATTGAACCATGTTTGTTTACTTCAGAAGGCTGATTGTAATTTAATACTATCAAAAACATTTCCCCCACAAAGGTTAGCAGTGGAAGTCGCACAGGAGCCACATAAAGTCTGTGCTATACATTTCTGAGAGGTGGGTGGATCGATCCAAATATCATAGTATTGATCCCAACACTAGCATTGGTATCGGACTGATACTTTGTCGGTACTGATATTGGTAATACTGGCCCTGTATTTAGCTGCTATTGGATCGATACCAAACTTTGTAGTGTGGCACAGCACTACTGTGGCCACCAGACTGCTGAACACTGACCACTAACACTTCATAGACACTTCACTGTCACTTATCGAAACTACAACACGTATGCACTCCATATTGTACATAAATCCCATTTTTGCACAATATTCATCTGCTGACTTCTGTATATATATGTATGTACACCCATACACGTATACTATATGTACTGTATGTGTAGATGTATGCATAATTAGTAATGTGCATACATTCTTATATTTGTACATATATTTATTCTTATATTTCTCATATTTCTTATTCTTATATTTTACTTTGTTTCTTGTGTTTCTTGTATTTTGCACACCGCTGTTGCTTGTGAAGCTTGCACACAAGAATTTCACTCACATGTGCTGCACCAGTGTATCAGCAATGATGTGACAATAAAAGTGATTTGATACATGTTAAATGACAAGATATATGTGTTCAAATAGCATCAATTAACACACAACTTCAGTAATTTTTTTCTATGTAATAATTCTTCATAATTAAACAATAAGAACAAGTAGTCTGATGTCCTGTAATCATTATGATGCTATAACTTGAAATACAATAACACCTTAAGTTTTTGTACAAAGTATCGGTATCAGATCAGTATCGTAGACGCCACCCTGAATTTTATCAGATCGGAAAGGAAATCAGTGGTATCACATGTCATTAGTTAAACAATGTGTATTTGTGACCTGGTAGTGTAACAGGCTACACCCTCAGCATTTTCCAAGTGGCATGTGAGGAATCTGGGTTATACTGGCTGTAGATCAGTCCTGAAGTTAGTGATAATCTGATATATGCACAAACAGGCATTTCTCTCAACTCCCTGGCATTTTATACTGTAGTCAGAACATTCAAAATAGGCCTACTTCTTTTATGAGCAGTCACTGTTTAGACGGTGACTTTTTCCTCTCCTTTCTTGTAGTTTGAACTCTACAGCCAAAGCAGTCTTTAAATGACACAAGGCAAACTCTGCACTTGCTATAGTCTGAAGGCCTCGTATGACTTCACTTTAATTAAACAGTGAGGAGACAAGCCACAATGAAATTGCTCAAATGTCCAATTAGTTTTTGAGCTTTTGAAAATGACGACACTCTGCAAAAATGGCTGTAATTCCTGAAGGGTTCAGTCCTTTATATTGACTCTAAAGGACTTTAAAAATATATCTTTAGTTCTTTGTGATATAAAAATGATAAATCATAAATGTATTCATCGAATCCTGCAAGTCCATCACCACACATTTGACTGGCTGACTCACAGTGGTGCCGTGCTGCTGCTCAGCATTTGATCACTGACATTATTGTCGTTTCACTTATGGTAATGAGATTTTTTTCCTGGGTGGACTCTGTGAATCTAACATGCATGTGTGGGGTAGCGAGTTCTCCATGAAAAGGCATCGAGAACTTCACACAGAGATGCCCCAGCTGGCCTGCGGGTTCTTGCTTGCACGCTAACCACTGCACAGCTGTTTATCATATTGACGTAAATGCAATGTCGCCCCTATGCCACTAGAGGGAGCGCTACACTCTTGCAGTCCACTTGCAACATCATTCAGGGAAATGTGTGATGTGTTTGTGTTACAGAAACAGGTGGGGCATACGTTGAAAAAAGAGTAAGAGTCTGTGCAACCTTTCTGCTGATGAAAGTCAGTCCTCTGTTTGTGCTTTATTTTCCGGACCCACTAAGTGAAAGGTATGAAAATAGGTTTTAAAGTTTGGTTTAAAGCACACGAACTTCATTTCATACTGTTTCATAAACTCATGGATGAACTTTGAGTGTCACCAAAATACCACAGTCTTTTATCTCAGAAGCTAAAGATGTAGACTATTATATTAGAGTTGTTCTGTTTGATTGTGTTTTGTGAACTTTTAATAGAACATCAAATAACAATGACAATGCGCTCCAAGATGTTCTCGGTCTATATTTTAAAATACTGAATGTTTCATGGAGTACATAGAGTATCATTAATGACTCAGAGGCAAATGCAAATTTCATTAGGGTGATCATTCTGCAGAAGACCATGGCAGGTTTTAGATGTGTCAGCGAGCATCACATGAAACCTGTGTCATTTTCTAGAGAAAGTGAATCATAAACTTAATAATAAACCACACAGTTTCTCTGGAAGTTTGAAGTGACATCACTCGAATGCTTGGCTAGTGAATACTTGAAAAGTTGGAGGGTGTGTCTCCTGCTGGTATGAAGTCTGAAATGTTTTTTTGTGTTAAGGTTGTTGACTTTTCTGTAGGTTTTGCACTTTGAGTTAAGAATAAGGACACTGACACAATTTCCTGCTGTGCTTTTGCAATTTGCGATTTGTGTGCAATTTGTTTGTAATGTATGACGTACACTTTGTCAGACACTTGCATAATTAAAATCAGATAAGAAGAAAAAAAAAAGAATGGTGATTGGTTAATCACTGGAGAGGTGTGAGATGTTTAGCTTTGCGAAGGGCTACTTAAAGCATGCTTGTCATTCTTCCAAACACTTGCAATTCTAGCTGTCACACCATGGACAACATGCAGCAGACAATATACAGCATCAATGGTAAGTGCACTCTGCCACTCAGATGTAACTTTAATCTTTTTCTTGTCCATAGGAAGGCGCATGTGTGCGTTTGAGCTGCTTTGAGTTTTGCTTAAATGGATTGATTAAATTTCATATGATTTTGCATAAACAGTTTATTTTCCAGCTGAAAGTAATCCAATTAAGTTTTATTCCAGCAGACATTAAGTGCAAAGAGTAAAGAAAATAACACTAATATTCTACCAAGTAATCTGATACATAGACTTTATGTAATAAATATAAATATTACAGTTGTGAAGCGGAATAGGATAGTTTTTAACATGAATGAGAGAGGCAGCATCATTTGTTAAGTGATTTCGTTTGTTAGGTAGAAAGAAACAATTTTAAATCATTCATTGCAATATTTTTTCTTGTCCTGTTGTTTATTTTTTGCGTTTTCTAAAGTTCATTTTACCCAGCGGTAATCCAGGAAACCTGTAATTCCTTTAACACTGATTTGTAAATTAAAATTGATGGCTTTGCTGAAATTCATCTCCAAAGCTCCCGTCTTACCTTCTTATCCCCGTCTGTTCTCTAGTTCCTGACAGATCTTTGTCATGTGTACTGTCTTCAGATCAGTATGGGTTCTGCCATCTGTTTTACAGGTACCACTAATGGCCACTGCCGACTAAAGTCCATGAACTTTGAGATTCCCGAAAACAGCATTTCCCATGAAACTCAGGGGCTTAGTAGGAACCGACTTGTGGTTCGACGAGGGAAACCCTTCAAAGTGACGCTAAAGTCTGACAGTTGGCTGTGGAATCCCTGCGCTGAGAGCCTGGTGCTGGAGGTTTGTTTAGGTATCAAAGACTAAGACTGTTCATATTTAAAGCAATACTTCTGATTTATAAATACCACACTCATACTTTTTCAAGTGAAAAATTGCACTCAAAAGCATTCAGGAGCACCTTTGCACCAGGGCAGTGCTGATGTTAGCAATTAGAAACTGTAGCAGCTGCCAGAAAGCAACAGGTCAAAAAGGGGAGAACCACACCCTTCTGAGGCATTGGGAAATGTACAGTTCCCAAAGGCAGTGGTGGTCCTAGCCTGTTTGGCGCCCCGGGCGAACACTCCCTCTGCAATTTTTAAAAAAAACTAGTTTAGTTATTATATTTTTTTTATTACAAATTCAAATTATAAGGTGGAAATTATGCTGCTTTTATCTTTATTTATTTATTTATTTACTTTACCATACAGGTGGCCTGTCAAAGAGGATCCCAGTTCTGTTCTATGAAGAACAGTCCCACCCCCAGCTCTATGACTGGAAAGCTACAATCTACCCAGGGAACATGCATCCCCAGTCAGTCATTATCCACATTTGCGCTCCTGTTCAGTCATCAGTGGCTCTGTATGAACTCCTGGCCCACATAGAGACCAGACGGAGCAGAAAAACTTATGTATTGGGAACATTTGTGCTACTGTGCAACCCTTGGCTGAAAGGTGAGTCCATGTAGCTGCTGCCACTTGCTGTTCTTGTCCACAGTCTGCTGTTATCCTTTTGTAGACATAATTCCAACTATCACCGCTTTTCAGGTGATCCAGTATACATGCCACTGGATGCCCATAAAGAAGAGTACATCAAAAGTGACTATGGGCTAGTGTATATGGGGAGCAGTTTAAATGTTAGCAAGCGTCCATGGTCATTTGGTCTGGTATGTGACCCAGAATCATAGAACAAGTCTGCATAGATCATATATAGTAGCATTATTAGCAGGTAACATGCTAAATTTCCATCCACATGTATGCAGTATGAGCCTGGAGTCCTGGAAGCATGTCTGAAGCTCCTGGAGTTCAGCCCGCAACACCTCACTGACAAAAACAAAGATTATACATTACGAGCAGACCCTGTCTACCTCAGCCGAGTGGTCTGCGCTATGGTGAGAGACAATATAGTATAATGCTAAGCAATTTTGTCCACAGTAAAAGGAAAAAAGTGAAGTCATTAATGTGATTCTTCCTGCTCTAGATAAACTGTAACGATGACCTGGGTATTCTGGAGGGGAAGTGGCAGGGCAGTTACAAAAATGGTGTGAAGCCTACAGACTGGAGTGGCAGCGCTGACATCCTTCTCCGCTGGGCCTCATCCAAATGCAGACCTGTGCGTTATGGCCAATGCTGGGTCTTTGCATCCGTCCTCTGTACAGGTAGGATGTGTGTTTAGGATGAGATCATTGGTGAAATCTGTGTTTGATTGAGTTATCTCCTGTGCAGAGCTGTTGTTCTATGTCTCATGGAGTTCTAGATTTGTTGACCTAAATCTGTCTTAATTGCTCTACAGTACAGAAGTGATACCAGTATTAGTCTCAAGAATTGTCCAAACAAGTCAGCACAGACCCAAAATCTAAATGTATACAGGCGAGTCCACACAGGATGGATTAAAGTTGCTCTTGTGATGCTTAAAATGCTGTAGATTGACAGAATTCCATCATATGCCCCTTGATTGTTAGATCAATTATTGGATCTATTTTCTTTCTTTGAAGGGACATACCATTTACACTGCATTCCCATGGTAACTTGCCATAGGCATTATGTCAGCATTGCTATGTGATTATTGAAAATATGGTTTTTAAATGATATTAAAGCCTTTTTTTTTCTCTCTCCAGTAATGAGAGTTCTAGGGATTCCCTCCAGGGTGGTAACAGTTTTCAACGCAGCTCATGATGGAAATGGCAACATGATAATTGAAGAGTTTTACACGAGAACAGGGGAGAAGTTCGGCGTGTCAAAGGACAGCATTTGGTTGGTGTCACTTGCTCTTAACCATAAATATACAATTTCTTTTTGTAACTTCTTGCAATCTGCACTCGGTGACTTCTTTAATAGCTACAGGTGTTCACTTTCTGTTAACTCAAAGATCTAATCAGCTAGTCACATGACAGGACTTAAATGCACATAGGCATGTGTATAGACATGTTCAACAACCTGTCGAAGTTGAAACCAGGTATCACTCAAACTGTGAAGAAAGGTGATTTACTGTAAGTAGTTCTGAATGTGGTATGGTTGTTGAGGTAATAGGAGAATGCTTCAAGGTGGCAGCAAGGCAACAGTAACTCAATTAACCAAAGTTATAGAAGAACCGAAGAACCGAACAAGAAACTAAGGATACAATTCACACCGGAATAATACACATAAGAAATATTGGAAAAATGTTTTCTAGTCTCAATTTCTTCTACAAGAGTTGGATGGTAGGGTCAGGATTTGTCATAAAACATCATGGCTGGAAGGATCCATTCTGCCTCGTATCAATGGTTCAGGTTGCTGCTGGTGGTGTAATGGTGTGGTGGATCCTTTCTTGGAAACTTTGGGCACCTTAGTACAAACTGAGCATCATTTAAACACCACAGCCTGCCTGAGTATTGTTGCTGACCAAGTCATCCACTGAGCACAGTGTCCCTATATTCTGATTGCTGTTTCCAGGAGGATAACACACCATGTCACAAAACTCAGATCATCTCAAAATGGTTTTTTGACCATGACAATGAGTTCATTGTACTCAAACGGCCTCCACTATCACCAGATCTCAATCCAACAGATCACCTTTGGGATGTAGTGTAATGACAAATTTACATTATAGATGAAGCGACAAATCTACAGCAATTGAGCGATGCTGGAGTAAAATCTGTGAGGAAGCAGCTTGTTGAATGTGTAACACAAATAAATTAAGGCAGTGCGCAAAGCAAAACAGGGCCCAACCTGCTACTAGCACAGTGTATCTCATAAAGTGGCTTTCAAAATAATTGTGTAACTTGCTAAAAGGACTTTTTACTACTACAAATATTTTTCTGTTTTGTAAAATTAACCTGACTGTTCTGTATATTAATTGCATAATGCACATCATCTGTAGTTATCTCTACACTGTTAAAAAAACATCTTAAAAAAAACGGTAATATTCTGGCACCTGGGGCGCCAAAATACTACCGTAACATAACAGAAAATAACTTCCTCATAAAAATACGGTTATTTCCAGTAATGACAATACAGTTTGTTGCGCTAATTTCACATGGGATTCTGCCTTTACCAAGTGCTTTTAGACATTAAATTAGGAACATTTTAACGTGATCAAACAAAGAAATTACCTATAAACAAGGTCAATGAATGTGGCAATATGAATCATAATACGTAAATGTACAGAAATATACAGTTAACAGTTGGTTTAAATAATAATGGATTGCATGCCCTGGGACAGACTGACAGAGGGGAGGCTGCCATATCGCACCATCGGCTCCTCTGGCCATCACCAGTAGGCGAAAAGTCTTGACCACAGACACAATACCGAGAGTGTCCGAGCCGGGGCTCGAACCGGCAACTTTCTGATCATAAGGCGAACTGCTAACTCTTGAGCCATGATCACCCTAAATAGCAATGATAATAATACTTATGTGATGTAACACAAACTTATAGGAATCATGTTATATACTTTTCCATAGCATTACATTTGAATTCAACAGTTCAATCTTTCAAATAACGGACAGATATTTGTGAGATCATGATACATTTGTGAATGTATTTTAACAATCTAAATATGCATATGTACAGACAGATACATTTAATAATCATGAAAATTATGTTTTATTACATTACAGTGATTTAACGTTAATTTACGTCTGTGAAGGTTCTCAGTCATCCAGGTCATCGTAGTCAAAGGAGCTTGCAAAGAAAAGCGTCTGGACTTCTTTAAGTTGCTTGAAGACGTTTCACCTCTCATCCGAGAAGCTTCTTCAGTTCTAAGGTCAAATGGTGGAGAGTCCCAGATATAAACCTAGTGGGAGTGACCCCCCACAGAGGGACAAAAGGACCCCCTGATGATCCTCTAATCGCCTGAGCCAAGGTGTGAAACTGGGCGTGGGTCCCAATCAGCCAGAGTTTCGGGTGCCAATGTCCAAAATGTGAACATTGGCATCCTCGAAAGAGTGTCCTTTATCCTTAAGGTGCAGATGGACTGCTGAGTCTTGTCCTGTGGAGATGGCTCTTCTGTGTTGTGCCATGCGCTTGTGAAGTGGCTGTTTGGTCTCTCCAATGTAGAGGTCTGAGCATTCCTCGCTGCACTGTACAGCATACACCACATTGTTAAGTTTGTGTTTTGGCGTTTTGTCTTTCGGGTGAACCAGTTTCTGTCTGAGCGTGTTGCTGGGTCTGAAATGCACCGGGATGTCATGCTTGGAGAAAACTCTCCTGAGTTTCTCTGATACACCGGCTACATAGGGGATGACAATGTTGTTGCGTCTGTCCTTCTTATCCTCCCTCGCTGGTGTTTGGTCTTCTTTTCTGTGCCTCTTTGCTGACTTTAAGAACGCCCATTTAGGATAGCCGCACGTTTTGAGTGCTTCCTTTACATGTGTGTGTTCCTTCTTTTTACCTTCAGGCTTAGAGGGAACATGTTCTGCCCGGTGGTGTAGGGTCCTAATTACTCCAAGTTTGTGTTCCAAAGGGTGATGGGAGTCAAAGAGGAGGTACTGGTCCGTGTGTGTGGGCTTCCGGTAAACTTCGATGTTGAGTTTGCCGTTCTCTTCAATGTTCAAGGCGCAGTCCAGGAAAGGCAAACAGTCGTCCTTTGTGTCTTCCCTGGTGAACTTGATGTTCTTATCCACAGCGTTAATGTGCGCAGTGAAGGATTCCACTTCTTGTGTCTTGATTTTGACCCAGGTGTCGTCCACATATCTGTACCAGTGGCTGGGTACTCTTCCTTTGAAAGAGCCAAGAGCCTTCCTTTCCACTTCCTCCATGTAAAGGTTGGCTACAATAGGTGACACGGGGGGAGCACAGCCATGTTTTTGTCTGTAAAAGCCTTCGTTGTACTTGAAATATGTAGTGGTGAGGCAGAGGTCTAACAGTGTGCAAATCTGATCGGGTGTGAAGTTGGTCCTGTCCTCCAAGGAGCTGTCTTCTTGTAGTCGTTTTCTGACAGTCTCCACGGCCTCCGTGGTGGGTATGCAAGTGAAAAGAGAGACTACATCAAAGGACACCATGGTTTCATCTGGATCCAGGGTAAGTTTCTGGACCTTGTCGGTGAAGTCGGTGGAGTTCTTGATGTGGTGTGGGGTGTTCCCCACGAGAGGCGCAAGGATGGTGGCAAGGTGTTTAGCAATGTTGTAAGTGGCTGAGTTTATGCTACTGACTATGGGTCTGAGTGGGACAGCTTCCTTGTGGATCTTAGGAAGTCCATAGATGCAGGGTATGGCATCCCCTGGGTAAAGGCGGTGATATGTAAGGCGGTCAATGATTTTGTCCTTTTCAAAGTCTTGAAGGCAAGCTATAACTTTCTTTTTGTAGCTGCTTGTGGGGTCTCGCTTTAGGGCTTCGTAGGTATTGTTGTCACTGAGGAGAGTAGTGATCTTTGTATGGTAATCTGTAGTGTTTAGGACCACGGTGCATCTTCCCTTATCAGCTGGTAAAACAGTGATGTTGTGGTCTTTGCTCAGGGAAGCGACGGCTTTCTTTTCCTGCATTGTGAGGTTGGATGGAGGGACTTTGGCACTGGAGAGCGTGGCTGAGACTTTCATCCTGATGTATGCTGTACAGTGCAGCGAGGAATGCTCAGACCTCTACATTGGAGAGACCAAACAGCCACTTCACAAGCGCATGGCACAACACAGAAGAACCACCTCCACAGGACAAGACTCAGCAGTCCATCTGCATCTTAAGGATAAAGGACACTCTTTCGAGGATGCCAATGTTCACATTTTGGACGGAGAGGACAGATGGTTTGAAAGAGGAGTGAAAGAAGCCATCTATGCCCACTGTGAGCGACCATCTTTGAACAGAGGCGGGGGTTTACGACACCAACTCTCTGCCATCTATAATCCAGTTTTGAGATCCCTTCCCAGACGCCTTAACGCCCACTCACATCCTGGGCCAACTGACCTCAGGAATTCGCATGATAAGGTGGGGCCAGGTTTCACAATGAACACACCCGAAACTCTGGCTGATTGGGACCCACACCCAGTTTCACACCTTGGCTCAGGCGATTAGAGGATCATCAGGGGGTCCTTTTGTCCCTCTGTGGGGGGAAACTCCCACTAGGTTTTATATCTGGGACTCTCCACCATTTGACCTTAGAACTGAAGAAGCTTCTCGGATGAGAGGTGAAACGTCTTCAAGCAACTTAAAGAAGTCCAGACGCTTTTCTTTGCAAGCTCCTTTGACAACGTTAATTTACATTTGAAATGTGAAATCACAGTCTATTTACTTAACTTTAATGATATTCTAGAAGAACAGAAAAGAACTGTAAAATGCACAGTAAAATACTTTTATATTAGGATTTTCCTACAGTGCAGCCATACCCGCGACCTTGTGGTTGTTAGTTCACATTCATTGGCCGATGCTTAGCGTCATGTTATTATGTGTCCCATGGCATGTCACATTGTTTTCATGGCCACACCCTCACCACAGGTGCAGAGGCCTATTTCTGTTCAGGAATGTTGTGAATACTTTGAGATTTATATTAATTGCAATTCCTACCTCTACATTTATTTTTTAAAATATCTAATTAGCACAGCGTGGCTGTGCAATGTTTTAGATGTTTTTTTTAGTTTTTATTCCTATTAATTATATTTTCACTTGTTACCTCTGAATTATTGAATCAGGCCTAGATGACATGAAATTTTCAGCAAAATTATAATTCAAATACTCCTTTAATTATTGATTATTCTCATTAATTTTCGATCATTTTATATATTTTTCCATAGTATTACATTTGAATTTAACAGATCATTCTCTCACATAACAGACAAATATTTGTGAAATGATGATGCATTTCTGAATGTATTTTTACAATCTAAATATGCATATGTACAAAAAAAAATCTATTTTAAAAACAAGTAAATTGTGTTTTACTATATTTACAGTGATGTTATGTTATTTTACCTTTGACATGTAAAATCACAGTCTACTTATGTAAACTTAAGGATATTCTAGAAAGACAGTACAAAACTATGCAGTAAGATACTTTGAGATTACTATTTTTTGGAACAGTGTACTTGACCTCTTGCAGGAACTTCCATGTGTGGGTGGAGTGCTGGATGAGGAGACCAGATCTTGGTGCAGGGTGTGACGGTTGGCAGGTAGTGGACCCAACACCGCAGGAAAAGAGTGAAGGTACATGTAGGCCCCTGCTCCAAATAGCTGTCAAAATTATGCTCTTTATAGATTGCATTGATTTGCAATGAAAGATACTGACTGATATTTCTCTGTAAACACATTGATCCTCAGGGATATTTTGCTGTGGACCTTGTCCAGTTGCTGCCATCCAGCACCACTGGTTGGACGCCCGATACGACATCCCATTCGTCTGTGCCTCTGTTGATGCGGATGTCGTAAGGTTAATTGTGCACAATGGACTGGTGGTGGGAAAGACGGTGGACACTGAGTGTGTGGGAAAGCTCATCTACACCAAAAGCATCGGATCAGATAAACCAGAGAATCTGAAGCTGACATATAAACCTGACAAAAGTAAGAGAATGTGCTCAATCTATCTCTGAGGCTTGTCATAGCAAAATGTTTCTCTTATAACTTTTAAAAAGCTAAAGATCTTCAGCAATTGTTCCTTGAAAAACAGACACTTTCTGTATGAGAAAAGAAGTTCAAGTAGTTTTATTTCTGCTTTTTCTTTCAGGAGGAAACACCTCAGTCTGTGCAAGAACACTGCAACACCAAGGTCAGTGTCTGTACCCCAGAGCATCCCCAACAACCTTTAAGACTCCCCTTATTGCTATCGGGGGCTAAGCTAAATTGTTAACACATTCATGTGTTAACTCTGTCACCGGGCGCTTTGCTAGGTTTTAAAGGCTAGATGTTACAGTGCCTAACCTGGTGCATTCAGTCCTCAGTGCAGGTTCTTCCCAGGTGGGTGCTCCTTCCATGTGGAGCTATTGGGGACAGCTGTCTTCTTAACATACATGTCTGGCAATCTGGGAGTCAGTATTTTCCCATAGTGAGATTTGAAACGAATGCTATGAAGGAGAACCTATAATATAAAACCTATAATATATATATATATGCGCGTGTGTGTGTGTGTGTGTGTGTGTGTGTGTGTGTGTGTGTGTGTGTGTGTGTGTGTGTGTGTGTGTGTGTGTATGTATAATTTCTACACACCTTTAATCATTTAGGGTTTAATCTAGAACGAGCTAGATTGTTCAAGTGGTGAAAATCAAACCAGCTCTAGTCGCATATCTTTAACCTGAAACAATGTACATGTTATTACCAGGTACAATGTCACCCAATTTGAACGTGACCCTAAAAATAGTTGGGGTGCCAAAACTGGGTGAGCCCATCCACATATGTGTGACCATCACAAACCAGTGCAAGAACCCCAGGGTTCTGGTGGGACACATCAACGCTCAGGTGAAAGAGTACGACAGCAGCCCGTGTGAGGCCTTCTGGGACGCACAAACAGAGGTGCAGATACAGCCATTTTCAGGTGACTGAATACATTCATGATTCCAGTACATTTACTATTGTACTGCTTATATATAGATTAGTGTTTGATAAACAAAGTAACTAACCTTCCCTTTGATTTGCTTCGTTTCTTTCCTTTCCCATGACGTTTTCCTCATCCCCAGTGACAACAGTCAATCACACCATCTCTCATTTTAAATATCAGTCATTCCTGGCTGGTGATGATATTGTGAACTTGGCAGTGGTGCTAAAGGACATGAGGACCAAAGAAACATTTCTGGCTGCTGAAGAGTTCAGCATAAGCCCTCCACAAATAACCATACAGGTACAACAACATCCCCCCTCCTGTCTCTGCAACTCACAAAGTATTATATATGAATTACATAGCACTGTCTTCCTTTCTCTTCCTTCCTCATCTTCCTCACTTTTATCTTTTTCATGGCTGTCAGCTGAATATGACAGGATCAGGTTATTATTGTAATGAAGAACAAAGTCAAAATCACATCAAAAGAGCATGCACAACAACAGTCTCTCTAACATAGTTTGGTGACCTAAATCAAATTACCTTTCACATTATGATGTCAGTCAACTGATAATATGTCGGCCTTGCAGGAAAGGATTCAGCAAAGAAATAAATTTCTTTTGCTGTTCCCTGACCAACTATATTCATTCACTTTACACCATATATTAAATTCCAAAGCCTATTTAGTGTAATTAATGAGCTTTATTAGGCTCACCAAAACTGGAAAATAAAGACTCACTTTCTGGTCAAGCATTCAGATGGTAGGGTCAAAATTTAGTGTAAAAAATCTGAAAGCATGGATCCATCCTGCCTTGTCTCAATGGTTCAAGCTGATGTTGGTGTAATGGTGCAGGGGATATTTTCATGAAAAAATCTGCTAGCCTTAGTATCAACTGAGCATTTTATTTTAGTTTAAACACCACAGCCTACAGTGTTGCTGACCACGACGATCCTTTTGTGTGAGCACAGTCTACACCGTGTCACAAAGCTCAAACAATGTCAAACTGGTTTCTTGAACATAATGATGAGTTCACTGTACTCAAACAGCCTCCACGGTCACCAGATCTCAATCCAAGAGATCAAGTTTAGGGTGTGTTGATATAAAAAAAAAATCACATTATGGATGTGTAGCCGACAAATCTACTGCAGCTGTGTGATGCTATCATGTCAACATGGACCAAAACGTCTGAGGAATGTTTCCAGTACCTTGGAAACTAACTAATGAAGTAGTTGACGACTGTCAAGATGACATGCTTTCAGTATTCAGTAGACTTTAGATGTTTCTCAATAATCTTTTTCTTTCATTTTCCTATTTGCACATTATTTTCATTTTTATCAGCATGTTACGGTATTCAAATTTGGAGTGATACAAGTGTTAGAGTAAAGGTCATGAAGCGTTACGATCACAGGCTCACTAAAAACCATATTCTTTACTCTCAGTCAGTAAGCTCTCACAGTCTTATCACCGGTCCTCCTGGGCTTAACAAAAAACAACAGCAATAAAAACTAAAATTTACAAGAAGAAGACGGGCATTGTGCAATGTACATATGAATATATAGAATTATACACTGCTTAAAAAATTAAAGGAACACTTTGAAAACACATCAGATCTCAGTGCTGGATATCTATTGTGACACGGACTGGCCGTGTGTTTGGAAAAGGTGCCACATCATTTCATGGAAAGTGAAAAAAAATGATACGGTAGGGTAGTCATTTTGATGAAATTTCATAGCATGGCAGATGGTGTCCTGGGGGGGATCTCCTCCCACATATGGACATGGGCTTTACTGAGCTCCTGGACACTCTGAGGTGCAACTTGTTACACCCTTTTATGTCTGTCACATGTGCTCAGGGTGAACTTGCTCCTATGTGTATTCTATGGCAAATGCCAATCAGGCTCCATGATGCCAGGCAATGAACACAGGGCCCTTTAGAGGTAGAGGATGTCGGGCCCTCAGGCCACTCTCATCAAGTTTGTTTCTGATTATTTGGTCAGACATTCACAGCAGTGTCCTGCTAGAGGTCATTTTTACAGTCTTGGCAGTGCTCATCCTGTGCCACCTTCCATAAAGGAGCAGACACCGGTCTGGCTGATGGGTTAAGGGCGTTGTACGGCTCTGTCCAGCTCTCCTAGAGTACCTGTCTGTCTCCTGGAATCTCCACCATGATATTGAGCTGGTAGACAAAGCAAGCGGTGTGGCAATGGCATGTATTGATGTGCCATCCTGGAGAAGTTGCACCAGCTGTGCAACCTCTGTGAGTTCCAGGTAGCACCTCATGCTACCATTAGTAACGGCGACTCTGGCCAAATGCAAAACTAGTAAAAAAAACCAAACAAAACAGAATCAGTGAGGATGGAAAGAATGTCAGTGGCCTCCACTTGTAAAACAGTTCCTGATTGTCTCACTGTTGTCCCTATTTTACAGCTTTTGTTCATTTCATTAGGACCAAAGCAGCTGAAACGGATTAACCACCCTCTCTGCTACTTAACTGACCAAAAAAATATTGGAGACTTGATGTTTTACTCTGAACAAAAAGTATTAATTCCTTGATTTTTTTTCACACAGAGTATAAGTCACTTTGCTAAAGAGCAGATTAGAGCCCAAAATGCTAATGCTATTAGCATTTTTAGCAGTGTCTAGTGAATCATTTACAGAAGCCAAAAGAAAGGTGGATCCATGTAACTCACTTATAAAACACTGCAAGATAATGTTTGGTGCCAGAGAAAATATTGGTGAAAAATGCTGTGTGAAGAAGAACACCACTAGCATTCAAAACTTTATAAAACACAAGCTTCCACCTCGAACTCATATGAAAACTTCCCACGCTTCTTTAAAAATATCCATATTTATTTTCCTTTTTTTATTGGGTTAAAAAAACAGTATCTGCCACAATCAGTTTTACAGATAATTTTTTTCCCTGTGTGCTCTTGTAATTGTGGCTGCTCTGTAGATTGAAGGAGGCAACTCTATCCAGCTGAAGAAGCAGCGCACAGTCCTTGTGTCCTTCACCAACTGCCTCAGCACAGCTCTGTATGAAGCTGTGTTGACTGTGCAGGGAGCCGGCTTGCTGGAGGGCAAACAAGTGGCCAAGTAAGTGTGTCAAAAAACACAAAACTATCTTCCCTTCAAATCTGAACTGGGCAGATGTCTGAGGAATGTGGCCTGAGAATGCGGTCAGGTATGTTACTGCAACAGTAAAAACAAGTTGCTGTCATATCTGTCATATGTTAGAGCACCATTGCCCACAGGCAATTAATTTACTGTTCCATTTATTTGATGATGACCTGTTTACATTATCTCACTTTTATAAAGGCAAGATTTCTTCATCGAGAAATTAGGTTGCTGAAGGTTCATGGTTGTTGTTTAAGATTACAAGTACTGTAAATCTGTGGCTGATGGTAAGGTGGAATGTCTTGAGGAATGTCGAGAGGTCGTAAAGTCTTGAAAAGTCTACATTTGTGCCACACCTCCTTTAAAAATAGTGTTGTTTCAGTCATCCCAACTAAACACCTAGCCGTCTAATGACTAGTCTGTATTTTCAGGTTTGGCAGTGAGTGTATTTAGCTTCAGCTAGCTTTTTTTTACAGTGCCAAATGTAGTTTTTAAAAAACCTAAAAACAACATCCCTCTTCATAAAACCCATTCAACCACCCTTGTCCTGCATCACACAAAATATACAGGACCCTGCTGTTGTTTTTTCTGTTTATTTTTTCCATTATTATTTTTACACACTGAATTTCACTTGGTTAATTCTTCTTCAGTTTCTTTTTTATGGGCTTCAAGGATGTGTAAGGTATTGTAAATCTGTATCCATTGGCTTTTTATTTGCACAGACACCCTTGGGAGGAATGAATTAGCTAACAAGGGAAGAGATTATGCAGAAATAATGTATCTTGTTAAGATGTTATACATCAGCATTACTGAGACTGGTTTGGCATTAGCTTTTTGGCTTGATATATAGTGGAGAAGAAGAGTAAGGTCTGTGAGCCAGAAAAAAAATCTCTACCTGGCAAAGGTTTCCTTGAGAAATTGGTAGCATTACTCAAAATTCATCATCCACAGCACATGGAGATATTGGGATCATTTTGTACTGTGGGATAGAAAATCCCTCACCAATTTCTCCTTTATTCAGTTTGTACTATTACTACCTGCTTTCGCCTGTGCAAAACATTAGATCTCCGAGCTCTGGAGCTGTACTGTCTTTGTAGGAGGTGAGATGTGAAAAGAATACATTTGTCTGCTCTGTCTCTCAGGATAATTCTCCTGCAGCCAGGCGAGAAGATAGAGAAGAAGGTGTCCATCACGGCTACTTCACCTGGCACCAAGCTGCTGATGGCCACTTTGTCACACAGCAACAACCCCAACATCATTGCCAGGTGGTACCACAAAGTGTCTGTCACAGCATAATGACCACGACTTCATCAGCGTAAAACAAATTAAAAAGTAACATTAAAGTAACACTTTAACCTTTTGTCTATTGAAGAATACAAATGATCTTACATGAAAGAAAAAGTGTGATTTATTGTTATTATTATTCCGTCATGAACACAACTTAGATGAAGATGTCAAGTTTACAGAGTGTGTTGGTTTACTTTGCAGTCACTACTTTAAATATATTCTACTTATTGTCCAAGATATTGTTTCTTTATTTCATTTATTTTTTTCCATCACACCTTCCAATGTTTATATGGCGTGCACACATATGAACACTGCAAGGTCAAAGTTCTGTTTTATGTTACATTAATACATCTTTGTTTGAGTTACCTGGGGGTTGAAGTACTGCTGACAGACTAATTGGACGAAATCACCTTCTTTATTGCCTGGGGGATGTTTCAAATTTGTTCAATTGTTTTGTATTAGTTGGTTATATAGTAGCCATTTTTGAGTTTAGTTTATTGAGTTGACCTCTTTTCTTTGTCTGCCTGTTTAGGTTTTTGGGTTGTCAATTAATTTTTATATTTTGGGTCAATAAAACCCCTTTTTTGAATTAAACACCTTTATGCCTTACTGCTTGGTCCCTGACACAGCAGCTCATGAATGTAGCATCTTTCTTATACAACTGTATGTGGTTATTATACTGTACCTCCTTCTTCTATGACTAAATAAAGACATAGACCAGCTTTCCCCCCCAACTGCAACCTATTCTTATTGAAATACCTTCCATAAATATATATAGATTATCGGTGCATGATATCTGCTTCAGGGAGACAATGAAATTTAAGGTTAAATTCCAAAAAACTGACGCTGGCACCGACTGCTCTTTCATGAAATAAGGCAAAGCTGCTGTCAGGGGAATCAAAGCGTGTGGTCAAATTATTATCTTAATCTTGTTTTATCTGGTTGATTGAAGCCAACACAGCATTTTCAGCGTCCACTAAATCCACGGGTTTAGTGGGATTAATAAAATATGACACCAATTTGACCTTTTTTGAACAAGAGCGTTTGAAGCAAGGAGATGATAGCGTTGCAAGTTTATGTAATACACACTGTACATTTTAAAAACTGAAATGATTATAAAAAAATTTAAATGGAGAGAGTTTGAACTAAAAATAATATTGTAATATGTAGTTTGTAAAGAGATTCATGACCTATAAATGAACATTAAGTTCATGTTACGATTCTACCCATGCGACAGGTAAAATTCTTATATTTGTTTTTCTTTTTGAATCAAAAATGTAAACCAGACAGGCTCGGTTTTATCATTTTTTTGTCCTTGATACAGGCCCAAACCCCTTCAGTATCATGCCTATTTCTCTATAATAAGAAATATGAACATGAGTACAGTCTTCACTCCCCCCTTTTTGTTTTTATCTGAGGCTGGACTGAGCTGCATTGCTGTAACACAAAAAGACCACCAGGCGGCAGCAGCGGCTTTCCCAGTTGTCTCTGTTTTTGCTTTCTCCCTCATGCAGCTGTGTGTTTAATAAGAGGAAATGAAAGTTTGCCCCGTTTTAATGTCTTTAATGTTGCCTCTGAGGTTCTTTTCATCTTTTCCCCACCCTGGCTTTAGTTTAGCTCTTCCTCTCATGCAGATGCAAATAAGAGGCTGAAATTTAGACTGCTAAACTTACTGTTGTCTTTGGCTTTGTGATCCCCCCTCCAAAAAAACAAACCCAGTAGATTTGTGGAGGTCAGACGATATCATCAAAGACTCCTGATATAGGTGAATTTTAACATTTGACTTTAGGTTATTTTTCAGCTTCCTGCAAGACCCAGGAAGCTGAAAACTCATGGTAAGAGAGATGTGCATTCCTTATTCTGTTCGAAAACAGGCCCATCAGCCTGTAAAACTATACCTAGTGAGCTTGGATAAGAGCTTCTTTTTTTCCAGCACTACCTCCTCTGTTCCCTGTCAGTTTAATGGGCTTCTAAATGGAATAATATAGAAGATCTTGTCTGCGTTTGGGCATTTCATTTCAGGCACTTCTGGGAGATTAGAAGATGCTTTACACAGAGATACATTGTGTCTGCATGGGTGCAGCCTTTAGATGAGTGTTTCAACCTAAAGGATTTCCGGCTGACGTGCGTACTGAACAGCTTGTGATCTCACCTCGGTGTCAGAGATGGAGGCAGAGGCGTTGGCAGACGGAGACGATAATCAGACTCCACACTCGCTGATTTCCAGACAAATTAAACGTCAGGGGAAAGCAGGGAGCGGGACCGCTGGGCTGCTTTGGAAAGTCGAGGCTATCATAAATTATTAATCGCTCCTCGTCACGGCCTCCCTCTCTCTCATCATCCCTCCCTTTTCAGCCACCCCCTTTCTTCATCCATCCCTCACATTTCCCCTCGTTAAAAAAAATCTTCATCTTTTTTTCTGGCTTCTTTTTTGCCTGTCACCTTACTCCATGCCTCCTTCCTTCCACCTTTTGTCAGTTCATATCTGTCTTCCCTTACCCCTCCTCCCTGCCTTCTTCTTGACTTCACTGATTTTCATCCCTCCCATCCATCTGCTCTTCATTTCCATCTCCCCTGTTAATCTTGATCACTTTTTCCTCCTCTGAATATCCTCTTCGCATCCCTCCTTCCTGTTTACAATCTTGCTCTCCATCCTTCCCCTCTTTGTCTCCTCTCCTTCCTTTTGATAACATTTTGTGTTCTGGGAGTTTTTTTCTCCCTGCCATCCTCTCTTCTCTTTTGCCTTGTTCTGTCTTTTCACCTTTGACGCGTGTAAAACAGACCCGTGTGATTTTGCATTGACTTTGTGTTTTCAGTTCTGAAATATTTTGGCACTATAGCTAAAACAGAAAAGCCTCATTATACACAGCGCATACGCCTGGCGGGAGGTTTGCTCCTCTTCTCTCTCTCTCTCTCTCTCTTTTTTTTTCCAGAATGCTGAAAGATCCTCAAGAAAACGAGTTGACAATTTAGAGCTTGTTTAAATTTGTTATTTTACTACACACCACATATTGCTTATCCTTGATTTATGTTGTAGTCAGTTTATTCTTAATTTTTTGCTACTAAAAAAAAGCGAAAAATTTAAAGAGTGAAAACAGTAGGTGGCATTGCAGAGGACACCACTTCCACTTTTTTAACGATGGCATCTTGAAGAAAATATTATTTGATGGAATACTAAATGCTCAGAAACTCATTTATATGCTTATTTGTGGTATTTAATTAAGATTTTATTTAATCTGTTCAATCTGAATTCAGGGTTGGGGTTGCTAGGATGCGCCATGTGGATTTTTGATTGACTAATCACCCTCAAACAAAAACTTTCACCCTAATAAACTTTACATAGGCTAGTATTCCAGGAGTATTTATACAGAACACTGCTGCACTTTACAGTTTCCATCCAGTGCAGTTACATTCTGTGCAAAGTAGGTTTAACAAGCTGAAAAGGGTGCAGGGTAACCTAACCTACAGGCTGTGCAGGTTAGGTATATTGTGACACAAGAAATGATGCAAGTGATAACAAAAGAGACCAGGATGTGTTCCTTCTTTGTGTTACCTGCATAGAAGAAATTTCCACGCACAGATATGTAGAAAATATCTGCTGTCAGAGACATTGTAAGTCCTGTGACCATTTTAACCTTGCACATTGTTGGAAGCTATTTGTGTTGAAATGCGCTTAGTAGTGCTGACTGTGTGTTTGTTGCCACTACTAGTATTTGTACCACAAATACTTCTTGCCCACCCGTATAAGCAGTGTGGCTAACTCAGAACCTGTTGCATACATTTCCACACATGCTGCAAAGAGGCAGGAGTCATTTTCAGTCCCATTTTGTTTTGGTTTAGGCAACCAAACCCCAGAATGGGCTTCAAAACATGATGTCATGGAGCATTTACCACATCTTAGAGAGCCTGTTTGACAGAAAGCATCAAAGGTAAATGTGTTGGGGCAAGAAAGCAATAATTTGCTATACTGCCTGCAGATTTTGTCTGCTGTAATTTTGTCCTGATGAAAATTATCCCAACTTTGCTACAGTAGATTGCTAAAGGCACTAAAAAGGCTCTGCACCACACAACACTGTACTGATAGCAGCACTGTGAACCTGTAAGATTTACGAAGTGAATTCAAATTAACCCACCATCTTTATGTTGGCCACTTTATGGAAACTGAGACTTTTTTTTCTGCTAGAAAAGCAAAATTAATTACTAGTCTCCTAATTGTTCCATATTTATATTCTCAATTAGCAGGGTTGTCTGAAAAACAAGTTGATATCATGTTCAAATAATCTGCAGATGAAGTATGTCATCCATCTGCAGGTAACACAGTATTTAAACCAGGACTTCACTACTGCTCCTTGCCTGAATGCTAACTTGCTCATGTGGTAGCACTGTTTTGTTACTCACGATAAATGGGCTGGTACTCATATAGTGCTTTTTTACTCCGACGAAACAATCTGACATCCGTCTCCACAGTGACATCTATTGGCCACTTTTGGTATTGTCACATCTCCACAAGGTTACACATTACACCAGACTATCAGTAACGATGATCAACACTTATTTTGGAGTAACGGTCTTTATTTGTAGTAAGATTTCTATTCAAAAGCTTTTCGGCTTTTTCCTTTATTCGGCTATTAGGTTGAGATGGTTCGAAGGGTAACACTTTGCTTCTGCCAATAAACTAGTGGATCATGTGGCCTTGAAACAAATGCATCATTGAGGTATCGTTTGACCTCTACAGTGCCATTAGCATAGGCAAAAAGTTGCCACTGTCTTTTGCTGTGGTTATTCCAGCCGCTCGGCTACTGTTGCTAACTCTTAATCTTTCTGGGAGTTTGTGGTGTCATCAGGTATACTTACATCTGCTTAAGTACCCGTTGATTACTTATCTGCTCTCAATACCTGCAACACACTTGTTCTCTCTTCCTGCAATACACTTACTTACCCACGATCTGTACCTGTTAAATACTTACCTGCTAGAGTATCAGATGCATACCTATCTTTCCCTGTTCTCTCATTGGCTCCATGAGTAATGAGTAAGTTCCCTGCTGTCGTGAAGCCTGAGAAGCGCAAGTTTGTAAACTTCCCTCTGCCGTTTGACAAGAGAGGGAGCAGCAAGAGGGACCATTGATAGATGACCATTTGATAGATTCAAGCGAACAGATGGAACAGCTGCAAAGCATTGAAGTGGCCGTCCATTCTCAAATGTGTGCATCCTTGCACACATTTCTGAGCTCGATGTTTGACTCTGTCATGTCAAAAAGGAAAAAAAAAAATAGAATATTCATTCAGGATTCAGTGGGGCTGTAATGGACTTGTCCAAATGTTATTTGAAAGTACAGGCCTCCTCATTACAGCCTATAAAATATGAGAGAATTCTAGTCAAATTGCTCCAAGCTATTGCACAGCACTGAGATAATTTTTCACAGTATTGTAATGGTCTCTAACTACTTGTAATGCTCTCTGTCTTGTGCTTTCAGTCACACAGATGCAGGTTCGCACAGAAGCGTGTATCTCGATCAACAACCCCTGCGAGCTGCAATAAAGGCGGTGCTGATAATTATGATAATGAATCTAGCTTCTGTCTGGCGTCTATTGTCACCTGGTAATGAGTTTGTCCCGGAGGTCACTGCTGTAATAGCTCATTAGCAACGTTGGCTATTGCTGCACGGTAATGTAGCGCACAGTTGCTGGAGGTGCACTGGTCAGTGAGGCTATTTGTTTGCT